AATTCACAAGGTGGATGCTATATGGAACAAAACTGACTGAATGTGGATGTTCTGCTTTGGGTACCACAAAAAACCCCTCCCAGAAGAGAACAAGGGAAACGAATTGTGAACTGTGTGACATGCCAGACAATCCTGCGGACCCTGCTCAAACATCACTTATATGCTATGTCCCAGATAGAAGGGAGTGAACTGCCAATAATCTGCCAATAAATAAGAAGATCAAGAATGATAAAATGTTTTGCTCAATTAATAGACTGGGAAGCATATATTTATAAAAGCAAAATACCACTCATGCGTCATCACAAAATCTCTAGAACCGTAAAGCCTACAAACTTGAAATTTGGCCTGTATGTTCCTCTTGGCTTCTAGGGGCTAACTAAGAAAGGATTTTTCTAAACGACCATCAGAGCTATTAGTATTTGGTATATTATTATTATTATTATTAACATGCTCTGATGCTAAGGAGTTCTACTCCCCCTCCCCACCTGAAAAGAAATCTCTTCCAAATGCAAAACACAAGCAGAGGAGAGGAGTTTCAGTTTTAGTTTCACAGCACCAAGCAGCTTTAGTACAGAACAGTTGAGCTAAGCCACGCCCAGGCTCCTTGCTGTCTCCTTCTTGCTCACACAGCAAATACTGTTTCACTTTCCAAACAGCCCTCCATTCTCTCACACTCTGACAGGACACAAGCCAGATGAATACTGATGAATGCTGATAGGCAGAGGCAGATTCCCTCTCCTTATTTTCCTCCCCCAAAACTAAGCCTGACCACATAGTTTTGTAGCGAAGCACGGCTAACGAGCTAGTACAACATACATTCCCAATATGCCATGATAAGATTTTGAAAGAAAAAGGAAAAGTGAACAAGCTTGAGACTGTCACTTTAAATCTAAACTGAAAATTGAGAAGGTGGACATAATCAGAGGCACGGTGATGCCAAATCTATGGAGCATTTGACGCCACCTTTAGGCTCAGCCTAGTCAACAGCTGAGTGTTTTCACTTTACCACCTTGCGTCCTCCCTGAGTGGTGTAGTGGCCTAGAGGTGGAACTCTTGCCTCACAATCAGGAGGCTGTGAGTTCGATCCCAGGTAGTGGCAGATATTTCTCTCTCTGGGCAAACTGAGGCTGTATCTGCTGAACAAAACTCCACAGGAAGGGCATCCGGCCATTAAAACACTCTGCTAGCTCCAATCAGTTGCCCAGACTCCACTCCGCAAGGGATGACGGGGTCATTAAATGAAGATCAGCTTAGTTCCTCCCTCCATAAATTGTTTTATAAACTTTACCAAAGTTTAATTCCATGGGAGTCATAGGTCCCAGATATTGGATTCATTCTTAAATTAGTCTAGTCAAGACACCCTTGTTTAAAAACTATCACTCTGTGTTGCACCCAGTTATTGGTTGCATGCAGATAAACAGGGCAGATTTAGTAGTATATAGATATGTTGTGGCTCAGAGGTTTGAGCCTGCTTTGTCAGAGGTTGAGGATTTGGACAATGAGGAAGAGGAGGATTTGCCTCTGAGGTTTGAGCCTGCTTTGTTAGAGGATTTGGAATTGCCTTCCTCCCCAGGACTAGAGGAGGGGACGGTTAAAGAGACACGATAACGTGGGCCAAACATTTCGGTTATACCATCGATTTGGACCAATGGGGACAATTATGGCAAACAATCTACAAATTAATGCTATCGGTCTCCATTTATAAAATGTTTTATCGGTGGCAACTTCCACCAGCGAGACTGGCCAAAATGTTCCCCAACCTGTCATCCAAACGTTGGAAATGCAACCCCTAGACAGGGAACGAATTTTCACATGTGGGGGATGTGTCCCTAAGCACGAAAGTATTGGCTCAAAATCCGAGCATGGTTACAGGAATTAACGAAACAAAAGATCCAATTCAAACGATTTGTAATTTCTTACTTGCTGCAAGGAAACCCGCAACTTTCAGATCTGGGATTTTCCAGATGTGCCAGTTTACTATTCAAATAAAAAGAACTTTGGAGAGGAGGATGTCTGTCTGGATCGGAGTTATTTGTTGGAGTGGAGGTTTTCTGGAATGCTGACTTAGAGTTTTGAGCTTCACTGGCGGAGGGTTGCAGGAGGCCGTTGCAGCTGAATCGGAGCTTAGGAGCCCGTTTCAGCTGGCAGAGGGCTCGGGCCTCCACAGGTGTCCCCGACAGGAGGGATGTTGAGTTTGCCATGCCCCCCGCTTCCCCCCCAAGATCAAACACAACCCTGATGCGGCCCTCAAGGAAATTATATTTGACACCCCTGTTGTAGATTAACCTGAAGGAAATCTTCACATATTAAATATTTCTTCGCAGAGATGTCTATCATATCCTTTCTTCTCAAAGAGTTCTCGATCTTGTTAGTATCCACGGAGAAAAAGGCCCAGCCTGGCCTCTTGAGAGTTGTGGATTTACTTGGCATTCTTGTTCCAATTGCACCATCTGGGATAACAGAATAACAGTGTTGGAAGGGACCTCGGAGGTCTTCTAGTCCAACCCCCGGCTCAAACAGGAGACCCTATAGAATTTCAGACGAATAGTTGTCCAATCTCTTCTTAGAAACCTCCAATGATGGAGTATCCATGATTTCTGAAGGCAAGCTGCTCCGCTATTAGGAATTTCCTCCGTCATCCCAGGTTGCTTCTTTCCTGGGTTAGTTTCCATCTGTTGTTTCTTGTCTTGCTTTCTGGTGCTTCGGAAAATAGCTTGACTTCCCTCTTCTTTGGGGCAGCCCCTCAAATATTGGAAGACTGCTATCATATCACCCCTAGTCCTTCTTTTTATTAGACTAGACATACCCAGTTCCAGCAACTATTCTTGATATGTTTTAGCCTCCAGTCCCCTAATCATCTTTGTTGCTCTTCTCTGCCCTCTTTTCAGAGTCTCAACATCTTTTTTATATCATGGAGAACAAGTGACACCCTATCTTTCTTTCTATCCATAAATGTATGGAATATTTCCCAGCAAACATTCCCCATCTATACAGACACAAGTATGGAACCTGGATATTTAACATTCGGTATCACTTCTTCATATTTCAAAAACATATTTCTACAGCTCGAAATTAAATGATTTTTCTGTTTGGTCCTTTATAACCTCTGTAAACAAATACGTTTTATTTCTTTCCTAATCATTTAAATGCGTGTTGAAAGAATAGCTACTTTCGTTTTCTTGTTTTGTTTTGTTTTTAAAAAATAAGCAATCCGCATTTATGTCTATGTATACCAGAGGTCTCCAAACTTGGCCACTTCAAGACTTTTGGACTTCAACTCCCAGAATTCTCCATTCAGCATATCTGGCTGAGGAATTCTGCGAGTTGAAGTCCAAAAGTCTTGAAGTTGCCAAGTTTGGGGACCCCTGATTGTAGATTCTCAGTCATCCAGAGCATGGTTGTCCCAAAGGTGTTTTTTTGAAAAAGGTGACTGGATCAGTGGTGGGATTTAATTTTTTTTTACTACTGGTTCTGTGGGTGTGGCTTGGTGGGTGTGGCTTGGTGGGTGTGGCTAGGTGGGCATGTCCATGTGACTGGGTGGGTGTGGTTTATTTTTTGCTTTTTTTTGCAGCCACTCCCTCCACCCATTTTGGGGGCCTTCTGGGCCTCAGATGACCCTCTGGGGGGGGGTTGCTCGCAGAAGGCTCCCCTGGGGCTCAGGAAGGCAAAAAAAATGGAGGGGGGTGCTGAATCCATCCCTCCATTATTTGCTTTCCTGGGCTTCACCAAGGGGAATCCCAGCACAGCTGCTCATATGAGGGGGAAAAAAAGACATACCTTAAGGGGTGAGTGTCAGGCAGGCGGGGCGACCGAGCATCAAGCAAGTTGCGCAAGTGAGCCAGCAGCGATCGGGGTTACTAGGTTGGGGTCATGGCCAGCCAGAACTTATTACCGGTTCAGCAACCCATGCCAATTTTTTGCTACCTGTTCGTGTGAACCGGTACGAACCAGCTGAATACCATTCCTGGACTGGATTTTCTTTTTCCTTGAAGACGTTTCACTTCTCATCCAAGAAGCTTCTTCAGTTCAGTCAGAATCGAAGAAGCTTTTTGGATGAGAAGGGAAACATCTTCCCCCCAAAAAAGCACCCTTGGGACAATCAGCATTTCTTTTCTTTTCTTTTTTTGAAAACAACTTTATTGGTTTTTAAAGACAAACAAAACAAACAAAATATAAAAACATCCAGCTTTCTTTCATAAATATACAATCAGTGTGTCGGTTGGTTTACCAATTTTTTGTGCATCCATTTCGTAGTCTCAATTACAATTACATTACATAATAACTCATATTATCAATCAGAAATTAAATACCCTAGTATCACTATTGAACAATCATTTGACTATAATTTTATTCATTCATACTTTGCGATTCATACTTTGTTTACTTAGTTTATTTTATAACAAATCATATAAACATACCAAATCTATCCTAAAAACATTTTATAGATATGATATCAAAAAAAAAGAAATATATATTTATATATTCATTATTTTCTAGAATTCTAAATATTATATTATTGTGTTTTATTATCTAACCATTGATAGAAAAGGTCCCAAATTTTATAAAATTGTTTATCCTCTTGTACTCTAATTTCAAATGTCAATCTACTCATTTCAGCACCTTCCAATATTTTCTTAATGATTTCTTCCTGCAATGGTATTTTCTCATTTTTCCAGTTTTTAGCAAATACAATCCTAGCCGCTGTTAATACATTTACAATCAGGTATTTCAAATCTTTACTATATGTATCAGGTAAGATTCGCAATAAAAAGATCTCTGGTTTCAAGTCTATGTGTTTCTTTGTCATTTTTTTCCAACCACATGTGGATTTTAGTCCAGTATTTTTTAGCATCCGGACAATCAGCATTTCTGTTTTAAGATAGATTCATTTTAGTCACGGACATGGCAAAACAATACGAGGTTGATTGTTTTTAAAAATCTTTTTAAAAATCTCGATGTTGATTTTATAAACATTTTATAAATGTTATACATTTGAGAAAATGAACCATTTTAATAACATTATTATCGATTCATTAACCATATCGTTCCTCATCCTGAAAATCTGTTGAGAACAGGAATTCCTAACTTGAACTTCCAGATTGTTGGACTTTCTGGGGTTTTCTGGAACAATATTTTTTCTTTGTTGCATCCAACGTCTATGGGAGATTCTCAGCCATCCAGGTCATGGCTGTCCCAAAGGTGTTTTTTTTTTCAAAAGGTGACTAGACTTTCTAGTTTTTCCTTGAAGATGTTTCGCTTCTCATCCAAGAAGCTTCTTCAGTTCTGACTGTTGCGTCTAATCCTCTTTATTAAGAGAAAGGAAGAGATGGAAAGGATGACTACTTTGCTCAGGAAAAGCGTGATGCAGAGAAGAAGAAGGGAACGTTGCGATGAGCCTGGAGAGATTAAAAAAAAAAACAGTGGATTGTTTTGATTTAATCATAAGCTTGTGTAAGATGGGCGGCCAATAAGTGTTATGAATAAAATCAAATAATTTAAAAAAGCCTTGCTCCATCATACGTATTCCAAATTTGCATCAGGGGTTTCATCCCAGTATAATAATAATAATAAAAAAACATGAAGATGGCAGACATTTTTCATTCCTCTGTATGTTTTATCAACTCCACTGCATGAGATCAGCCTATAGATAGGAATAGCACTTAGACTTCTATATTGCTTCACAGTGATATACAGCCCTCTCTAAGTGGTTGACAGAGTCAGCATATTCCCTAACTATCTGAGTCCTCATTTGAGTGACCTCAGAAGGATGAAAGGCTGAGTCAACCTTGAACTGGTCAGGATTGAACTGCTGTCAGTGAACAGAGTTGGCCTACAATACTGCATTCTGATAGATAGATAGATAGATAGATAGATAGATAGATAGATAGATGATAGACAGATGATAGATAGATAGATGATAGATAGATAGATGATAGATAGATGATAGATAGATATATGATAGATGATAGATAGAAAGATGATAGATGATAGATAGATGATAGATAGATGATAGATAGATGATAGATATATTATAAATAGAAGGCACAGCCTTCTGTTCCCACACAGCCTGGATTAATCACTTTGGGGGTGACATTTCTCTGCGGACCACCAAAATTTTCTCGCGAGCCACCAGTGGTTCCCGGCCCACTGGTTGGCGACCAATGCTTTCAATCATGATGTATCAAGGAGTAATATGATCTAATCTTTAAAAAAATGATCTGAAAAACAAAGCTGCAAAGCGTAAATCAGCAAATTCTCAGCAGAAAACAAAAGACATTTACTTCGTTGAAGTTGTTCCGTAATGAAGAGCGTGATGGTATCGTAGACTGGAGACTGGGAATCCTGCTGGACCAGGCAAAGGAACGTGGAGAAGTTGATGTCTTTGGTGGACAACATCTCGAGGTTACTCTTGAGCGAAAAGGTCCCGTCGGGATTCGAGGTCTTCATGCCAACCTTTCCTTTTCTGGCTTGGGCATCCTTGGCAAACAACTCCACTTTCACATCTTCTGGATAAAAGCTTTCTACATTGCAAGTGACCGTCACTGAGGTGTTCAGCTGGACGGGAGAAGGTGGGTTGATCTCAAGATGCAACTTGGGAGGAACTGAGCAAAGAAAGCCAAAGAGGTCAGTCAAAAAGCTTTGGACTCCTGTTTCCTGCATGCAGAATGGGGTGGAAGTCCCAAGTGATTCTGTTCACCCATTGTTGCATTGGGGGAAATAATTCTGGGACAAGTAGGATTAAAA